ATTTAAACCAGTCAAGTTGTAGTTTAAATAGAGAATAATGCATGGGTGCACGAAATACCGTTGAACATGAGTGTGCAGCGAACAAGTGAGCGCAGCGAACGAGTGAGATGTCATGTTCAACATTAAAAATAAATCTGGTATTTCCAATGTTACGTTCGCGGGCGAGAACGAACAAAAATGTGTGTCTGCATCTTTATCGTTTACGCTCGTTGCCCTCCTTGACCAGACGCAGCGACACGCGCTGGCCAAGGAGGCTTTCTCGTTTTTGGAATAACTTCTTCTTAGTCTTGAAAGTTCTTCAACAACAACAATTAACTCAACAATATCAATTTATTATCTTTAACTATCTCTTAATAGAATATTTGAATGAATGAATCAATGAATCTAGCTTAAGCTTTCGCTGCTTATATACTCTCCGAAAGATATTAATAAAACATGACATCATACTATTTTTAGATACCACGTAAACGATATAGTAAAGTTATGACTCAGCAAAATTACGTAATGTCTTAATTAAATTAAAATTGTTCAAGACGTGACTGACTTCACGTCACACTCCCCCTCTTGAAAAAAGAAAGTTTGCTAAAACTTTCGTTAACTAACTGTTCGTAACTTCCATTATGTCCATCAAATATAGTTCTTTAAATGTTATAATTATATACTCTAAAATAGTCTACAAAGAATTAAACTTGAGAAAACTCAATACAGCAAGAATAGCGTCCTTAAACTCTAGCAACAGTATAACAGAATAGGGAAGATTCAACAACAGAAGAACTACATCTTCAAACTAAATTACAAACTCCCTTTTTAATCTTAAATTTAAACAATAATTATTACTTTAACTTCTGGGAGATATATCAAATTATTACAATTTTGTAACAAAACAGGGCAACAAACCACTGTAACAAACCAGTAACAAACCAGTGTAAAAACCACTGTATCAAACCACTAACATGTGGTCAATAATCACAAAATCATTCCCCACTGTTAGGCATCACTGAGTAGACGTTAGGCACGATCTTAGCAGAAACCTTTTGACGAAGACGTAGTGAACCTCCAGCGTAGCACTTTTGTACTTCAGCCTCTGGCTAAGTCGACAAATTTGAACTGCATGACGTTAAAACTGGAAACAGATCCATCAATAATATAACACCAAAAGAACAATCATCAGACTGACAACAAAAGCAACCACTCTGACTCGAGAGAGAGGTTTCCCGCCTGAGCCCCCAATTGTTACGTTCGCGGGCGAGAACGAACAAAAATGTGTGTCTGCATCTTCATCGTTTACGCTCGTTGCCCTCCTTGACCAGACGCAGCGACACGCGCTGGCCAAGGAGGCTTTCTCGTTTTTGGAATAACTTCTTCTTAGTCTTGAAAGTTCTTCAACAACAACAATTAACTCAACAATATCAATTTATTATCTTTAACTATCTTTTAATAGAATATTTGAATGAATGAAAAATCCGATCGATCGATCAGACGTGTAATATATCGCTCCACATTATTCTTAAATTTTTTTGAGTTATTTGCTGGAATACTCTGTGGCAAGTATTGTAATCGAAATGCAAGAACTACGGCTTTGCTGGACGGGTGATTTGGAGAAATTGAAGCTTTTTGTAAGCAAGAATGTTGATTTTGTCGGCGAATGGACTTCACCAGGCAATGATAAAAAAAAATACAGTGATGGTTATAGCTCAATATCCTGGCGCAAATCCAAGAAAGTGTTGGAAATAGAAGGCAGAGACAGGAACCTCATAACAGCTAAGTTGTGTTCAATGTTATGTAATGATTTCGATCCTGTACAGTCAAGCAAAAGCGACAACTATTGCGGATTCCCTTCCACAAGCAATGAAATGCTTGTTGAATTGGAGGGCGTTAAACTCGATGTAACAATTACTGAGAAAGATATTCGTGATAATAAACATAGCATTAAAAACGTGGAAGATTGCCTTGATAAAGTAGTTGGTAAATTAAATATTATTAACCAACAGTTTGATGTATTTAGGGCAGAGTTTCAGTTGTTGAAAAACCAACATACGATTCAATGTTCGCCTAAAGCTGTCGAATATTCAAATTTGGACAATCAAAACGCCTCCGGATTGCAAAAACGTCATGAGGAAAACAATAACATAATAGGATCGAATCTAAATGATGACATTGTAATGAGTCGTAATGATGCATTACAATCTCTGGCAAATTTGCGGTCTGAGTGCCTTTCCAATGTTTGTTATGATACTCAATTAAAGCGTCTTGAAAGGGAACTGCATGATGAACAAGATAAAACCAAGCAACTTGAATCTGAGCTAACGGTTGCCGAAACAAAAATCTTACAACTCGAACAGGCACTAAACCTACACGAGTTAGAACAAAAGAGTAAAGAAACTGACAATGGGCTTTGTCATGATCATTCCTGCATTATTATGGAGACACTCAGCACTAATTGCATTAGAAATCAACACGCGCCTCCGACTCAAGAGAATACCTGTACTAATAAATATATCACATCTCAAGAATTACCACCTAACCCTCGAATACCACCAAAACAAGTTGATAAGCAGGAGCCTCAAAAACATGCTGGTCAAGTAAGTCAATTCCCAAAACATACGGAAATTTCGGACATAACTAACTGTTATGCCATCCCGACTCGCGTTACCCATAGAACACCATCAAAGAAATCGACGTGGCGACGAAATAAACATGGCGCTAGAATCAACCAGACTGGGGAGGGTTTTCGCAAGGACAAATGGAAAGCCAATATGAGGTTTTTCCAGTATTATTACTAGAACATGATTTTTCCCTATCAGGTCGCCCTACTTCAATTCATCGCGGACAACGTAATTTAAACAATATTATTCAAATTAACATTAATAAAACTGTTATTTCCAATGCTAATGACTATTTCTACGTTCCGAAACTATTATTGACAAATACGATGTCATTAGCTCCCAAAATTGATGAAGTGAGTTGTTTTGTCACAGAAAAGAGTCCTGACCTTGCCTGTATAACGGAAACATGGCTAAATGACCATATCTCAGATTCCTGCCTCGATATTCCAGGTTACAATTTTGTTCATAAAAACCGCAGTGTGGGCTCCCACGGAGGGGTTGGGGTGTACATCAGGAACACGATATTTTATAAGCCTCTGAATCATCTCCACCATATAGATTACGAAGTTCTGTGGGTCTATGTTCGTCCAAGTAGACTTCCCCGCGGGTTTTC